TCTGCATCATGCCTCTGTCCACTGCCCTTAGGCCCAGCTCGTTACCTTGCTGGGAGAGCGTCTGTATTAGCTACGTCTCACGTTACCCCACCATTACACGGAGACACATGCACTGTCACAGACCATCCGTGACCTGTAAGTCGTGTCCACTTCTGCATGGACTGAGTAACAGATAAGGTGTCCACGTGCACATCTGGTTATCTTCTTAGCAGAGAGGAGTGGCCGACTGTGAGGCTTCTGACATCTGCAAACTACCTCATAGGTGCCCCAGCCTGTGCCCCGCTTTCTCGTGGCGGGTGGAGTTTTATTCTGCAATGTACGTTGCGCTGTTCTCTTTCCCTCCCGGCTAACTTTCTCCAGTGCACACGGCTGGCATCGCATCTTCTGGCATCCTCTCGGCCCTCCTCCCCCCGCACGACCAGCCCTTCCAGGGGATAAGCCATCACTGAGTTTCAGGGCCCTGGCGCAGGGCCCTGAATGCAGGAGCCCCCCCAAGCCAAGTGGAGGAGCAGTTCCCAGAGGCCTTTCTGTTTTCTTCCACAGCTACCCTGAAATGGTCACTGGATTTTTCTTCATCCTTATGACCGTGCTGTGGTTCACCCGGGAGCCTGGCTTTGTTCCCGGCTGGGATTCTTTCTTTGAAAAGTAAGTGACTGGAGTCCCCAACAATCACCCTGGCACCCAAACTCTTCAGACAGCTGCCCCGTTGTCCCCTCCTAGATGCTTAGTCAAGAACCCCAGAAGTACCTCGCTCCTGGGCAAGTCCCCCTTGGGGATCTGTAGTGTGGTGTTGGGAAGAAGACAGTCGTAAGAGTCCCAGTCCGGGGCTGGCGCTGCTACCTGCCGGCCCTGGCTCTGCCTTGGCCTCATTACTGAAGCTCTTGGCACCTCCTTACTCCACCGGTTGTCATGGAAGCTAGAGCAGAAAATTGTCTCTAAATAGCAGCCATGAAGGGAGCATGGCCATGCGGGGCCCAGCCCAGGCTCTCCCAGCCTGGCTCCCCACTTGAGGGCGACACTCACGGTGAGGTCCACACTGCAAAGTGGACTCATCCTTTCCGAGTCTCTCTTCTCCGAGTATTTCCCCATCACTCCTTCCAGCGGTCTGCACGTTACAGTCACCTCTGCCCCAGCCAGGCCCTGCCCCTCTGACACCAACCGAGGCCCAGCAATTCCTCCACCGGCAGGCACGGCCAGGCGTCAGGCTGACGGCCAGCTAGACTGGGTCCCAGAGAAGCAGTGTGCCCCGATACTGCCCAGACCTCAGGTTGCCCCAGGCCTGCCCACCCACGCCTCCAGCCTGCCGTCTCTCCACTAGGAAAGGCTACCGCACCGACGCCACGGTCTCTGTCTTCCTTGGCTTCCTCCTCTTCCTGATTCCAGCCAAGAAACCTTGCTTTGGGAAAAAGAAGGATGGTAAGAGGGCCACGGAGAGGGCAGCCGGGGCTGGCTCTGGTCAATCCCCTAGTCACAGTTTCCGGAGCGAGCTCTCTGACTCCCCGCAAATAGCAGAGCCGTCTCCCCACTCAGCCGGGGCTGCTGGGCCTCTGGCCCCACTTGTCAGGGTTGCGCTGTCCAACCTCGATGTCTGCCGGCACCACAGGGGAGAACCAGGAGCCCTCCCCGGGGATGGAGCCCATCATCACGTGGAAGGACTTCCAGAAGACCATGCCCTGGGAGATTGTCATCCTGGTGGGAGGAGGCTACGCTCTGGCTTCTGGCAGCAAGGTAACCCGTCTTACAGTGTTCCTCTAACTGGGCCTTTTCCCAGTCCCCCTCCCAGCTCTGGGGGTGCTGGGAAAGGGGAATGTTCCCCAGGGTCCCTGGGAGCCGGGGTAGAAATCCTGTCCCACTGGCCTGAGTCAGCACTGCTGGGATCAGGTTGCAGGGAGCCGCCTGCTGTCACCACACAGGGCGCCCACAGCAAATGGTTTGTTGGATGGAGTAGCCACCACCTTCTAGGGCTCTGACAAGGGTGATGGGGCTGTGTCTGAGGGCCAGAGACCACAGGACACCCCCCACCCCCACCCCCCGCCTGTTGTCCCTCGGTCAGCACAGACTGAGCCCCCTTGAAGAGCTTCTATTAAAGCTGATTAATTGCCCTCCCCACTTCCTGATTGGGAAGTTTGGGCTGAGCGGCTTTGAAGGGAGCTGGTGGGAAGTAGGTGAGTTTTCTAGTCAACCCCTTTCTGAAATGGAAAACCACCCTAAGAGTGGAGCACATTAAGGGTCAGTTTCCCCCTCCCTCTTTAACCGTTCTAGACGTGGCCCACCTTTGGTCGCCCACCGAGGTGGCCATTGCTACCCGCATCACTGAGAGAAGCTCACAGAGTCTACACTAGGAAGGACGCAGAATCCCATCTCCCACCCAGTGAGAGTTCCCTCCACAGGGAACACAAAGAACAGTTCCTTTCCCTTCAGCTCAGCTCTTTTGGAAGTCTTCCGCCATCAGTCTAGCCCTACTTTCTGGAACTCTCATCTTGGTAGTAATTATTAAAATAGATCCTGGCCCTCCCTGGTGGCACAGGGGCTACCCACAGCCCTATGAAGCTACTGCCAGCCACTGTGGCATGAGTTTGATCTCCGGCCAGGGAGTTGGCCCACATGGCGCAGCAGACCTCTCCTGTCTCCCCGCTGCTCCCCGCAGCAGTAGATCTGCCTGTTCTGCGCCCCACTCTGTCACTGGTGAATGCTCTTACCCCCTGCACTTCTGGCCTGTACCCCAGTTCTCATATGCATAAAAAAAATATTTTAAAAATACAATAAATCCCTCTAGGTCAACTTTTTTTTTTTAACCTGAATTCCCTAATTCCTTCTGTCATTCCTCATGGAAATAGCACCCCCCTCACCCCCCCCCCACCAACTGCCATGCTGGTCTGGCTCCCCAGAACTCTCCAGTTTGCCCCGGGCCTTATGTAAACATGGCCCAGAGGTGAAGCAGTGAAGCTCAGAAATATAGTCATATTAATCAGACCCTCCTCTCACCTATGAACCAAGCACCAGAAGTATCTTTATGGATACTTCTACAAGGCTTCACTGGCACACATCAACATTCATAGTGAACCTCATTCATTAACCATTATTAAGCCTCAAGTCACTCAATTAGATATATATGCTGTCGTTATTTCTAATCCCGGGTTCAGGATATCATATTTATCTTTACTGTCAGTTGTTTCTTTTGGCCCAACACTTACCCCATAGTATCCTTTTTATTTTTACCAAAATTACTACCAAGTCATTACAGGTCTGGGCGGGAAATACAGATAGTGGTGTTATTTCTATAAAACCTAGTGACCCTACTAATTCGAATAATTCAGGTATAATAAATGAGATTCCTTCTGAGTTTCATGAAATTTCAGAGGCCTTGGCATTAGTGAGGAAAAGCTAATGTCAACGGTTTTCATATTGAGAATTTAAAAGTTAACCTTTGTGGCTTTTTCTAACTTTGCAGCCTACTTCATACATTCATCTCAAATCTATTATAAACAGTTCTAGAAAAAAATAGTACTTGTGAGTACTGTTTCCACTCAGGTGATTGATTTTGCCTCTTTGTCTTGGTCTGATGAGCAGCTGAATGTGTTAGAGAGAGTTCCTGCAGGTTCTGAGGCTCTGTGCCAGCCATTATCTGATATAGTTCCCGCATATGAACTAATAGCTCTCAGTGAGCGCAGAGGACAGAGAAAAAAAAGTGCTCCATGGTAAAATGGTGACAGTGGAGGCTCTGGGCTTGCCCTGAGGTGGCCACAGGGATGTGGAGGCCAAAGCTTTTGATGAAGCTGGAGACCAGAGAAAAGGAAGCTTGCTCACAAGGCAGGCGCCCTCTTTAAAGCACAGCTGGAGCAGGACAGACAGCTTGAGGAATCACACAATGATTCCTTGCTCTCGCCCTCCCTCCCTTGCAGTCAGCAAGCCCACAGGCTGGGGTAGAGGGGGCGGATGCCGAGGGTGAGCGGGAGAGTGCAGGAGAGTGCTCTCAAGGCGATCTGCATTTTTCCAGTACAAAAAACTCAAAAGGTTGCCCTGGCCTTTTAGGGGAGGGGGAGAGACAGCACCATCAGCAGATGAACAGCTTCCAGCCATATAAATTCATCCAAGGGAGAATACTCATTTATTTGAGCAGATATGTGTGAACGTTGCTAACGCCCAAGGGCCTTTTGTAAAAACCACTGGCAGATGGTAGATCCTGGCAGCAGCCACTGAGCATGTGAAGCTAAAGTAGGTTGGGGCTGAGTGACTGTGCTTCTAGGGCAGCGAGGCAGCACCTAGCCCTAAGTGGAGAAAGATTTGTAATGCCTCTTCTCTCTCTCTCTCTCTCTCTCTCTCTCTCTCTCTCTCTCTCTCTCTTTTTAAAAGATTTATTTACTTATGCATACAAAAGCTGGGGTGTAAGCCCAAGGTGCGGTCTGACAGGGTGAGAGGATTCACCAGAGACAGTAGGGAGCAGAACAGGCTGATCTACTGAAGTACACTGCTGAGGGGAGCAGCAGCAGCGGGGAGACAGGAGAGGTCTGCACACCATATGGGTCAGCTCCCTGGCCGGGACTGAACTCGTGCTGCAGTGGCTGTGATAGCTTCATGGTGCTGAGGCTTAACCTCAGGGAGGCCCCTGTAAAATCGCTTCTCTTTACTCAACATTTTTACTGTTCAACCCTGCGCTCTTACTGTTCCCACCCCTGAAAAAAAAAAAAAAAGGACAGTAAGAACAGTGTCTATCCAGACAGACACCTTTCTTGAGTGCTGAAATTGATTTCCAAAGCAGAACTATCCTTAATTACTCTTGGCAGTCTACGTAAAGAGCATTGTTGGTTTGACGCATAGAATGGAAGCATCAGAAGCTGGAGAATGAGAAATGAGACTGAGGCTGAGAGAGAGGCTGCTCGTCATAGATCTCCCACCCTTGGCAGCCATCAAAGCAGTCTCAGAAGGGTTACAACACTTCAGGTGCTCTCCATGTGTGATGGCGGCCGAGTAACCCTAAGACCACAAAAAAAGAATGTTCTGGGCATCCCTGGTGGCACAGGGGTTAAAAAGATAGCACTATCAAGCTATCAGCAGCCATCGCACCACGAGTTCAATCCCCGGCCAGGGAGCTGACCCCCATGGCGCAGCAGATCTCTCCTGACCCACCGGCTGCTCCCCTCACCGTGTATTTCAGCAGACCTACCTGTCTTGCTCTCCACTCTGTCTCTGGTGAACCCTCTCACCCGACCCCCACACCTCTGGCCTGTACCCCAGTTCTTGTGTGCATAAATAAATCTTTTTTTAAAAAATGTTCTGAGCTACAGAAATGATCTAATCATAAATGTCAAGAATGCTACTGGGCCCAATCTTCAGCCCCGCCACAGCTTGACCTCCTGGAGTGTAGCAACTCTACTGAGAATGTATGTTCCCATCTTTCTTCTTACTGTACCCCCTCGCAGAGCTCTGGACTGTCCACGTGGATTGGACACCAGATGCTGTCCCTGAGTAGCCTCCCTCCGTGGGCTGTCACCCTGCTGGCATGCATCCTGGTGTCCATTGTCACAGAGTTTGTGAGCAACCCAGCCACCATCACCATCTTCCTGCCCATCCTGTGCAGCCTGGTGAGTTCAGCAGAGTCCCAGGGGTTCAGGTGGGTGCCCCAGGGCCCAGCTCCAAGCCCATGTGTTCTGCTGGTCATGCCACTGTTGTCGCTGATGGGGATGCAAACCATAGTTTGAGAAACTAAGTTGATAAATAAAACAAAATAGCTAAGTGACAAACCACAGCAAGGCTTCTAGAAACTCCTTCCAGAAGACAAGGGTTAAGTGTAAAGGCAGCCCAACAGAAATAAGGACAGAGTAACTTGAAGTCCGTAGGGTTCTAATTCCCCACAGTCATCATCTACCTTTCTCTTCTGACATAAGGCCCTGCAATAAGCTGGAGAAACAACTACAGATAATGGAGGCAAAATGCTTCCCAGAGTGCACTTGGCAGCAAAGCCGAGTGTCATTACCACCTCCACAGAGTTCCACTGTCCTGGAGATTCTGAGAACCGAGAGCAAGGCCAGTCCCGTTCTGTTTCCTCAGAGTATTAGCGTACTAGGAGGGGAGCAAAGGTGTCCCAGCCTGGCTAGGCAGCCGTAAAGGCAACACGCCAGACACACCACTGCCTCTGTCCCAGTCTGCAAACAGGAGCCTGCAAAGGGAAGCTTCTCCCCAGCCCCAACAAAATTAACCCCCTGTTCCTTCTGGCCACCCCATGCCCCTCCATGCCACCTCTTTGTCATTGCTCCTCCCCCAACTTGTCCCAACCCCCATCTGGTGGGAGTGTGGGAGCTCACTGAGTTACAACTGGACAACACTGGGAGCAAGACCTGGGGTTCAGGTTCACTGCATCGAGCCAGTATCTTAACTAGAAAACGTAACTTCACACCAGGATGCCAAGGAGGAGGGATTCCACACACTTCCAACGAAAGCAGCCTACTCGTGAGATTTGTGTTTGAAGAAAGAATTTCTCAGCTGATGAAAAACAATCTTAAAATCACTTCCTTAGCCCAGTACCAACAAGATACCTCTTCTGGAAGTAACTCAAACGCCCATGTGTCCACGGGCCATGAGCACAGGGGGCCCACGTGGCCTGGCAGCACAGGGTACCCCAGAGGGCCCAGCACTGGGTGTCCAGCCAAGGCTGGCCAGCACCAACCATCACTTAAAGCATGTTTGGGAGGTGAAGCACAGGAAATGCAAGTCCAAGGTCAACACTAACGTTTCTGTGCATTCTCTCTTCTCCTAGTCCGAAACACTGCACATTAATCCTCTCTACACCCTGATCCCAGTCACCATGTGCATCTCCTTTGCAGTGATGCTGCCTGTGGGCAACCCCCCCAACGCCATCGTCTTCAGCTATGGGCACTGCCAGATCAAAGACATGGTGAGTTGTAGGCGCCTGCTTCCTGCAAGGCTTTCTACAGGACATCTCCTGAGCTTTACTATTTTGTGTGTCGTCCTTGGCCTGCCAAGTGTCAGGCAGGTGTGGCAGAAAGAACGGTACTGGTGGGATTACTTTGGGCTGGTCCATAAGCCCCAAGAACAGCAGTAACATGACACCCTAACGTTCAACCTTCCAACCCTATCTGGGGGGAAGTGGGTGCATGAAACAGAGAAGGCTTCAGCAGACAGATGTTGCCCGGCTTGCACATGTCTTTGCCTCAGTTTCTTCATCGGGCCAGTGGGGATAATCATGCAAAAAGCTGATGGTTTATTCACAGACGGTGAAGTATGAGAAACTGTAGAAACCTAGGCAGAACGATTCTGTAAGACCAAGACTCACACAACCCTCCTGCAACTCCCAGACAGCAACGGCTTCCACCCATGTCTCACTTACTTTCAGTTGGGCTCACAAAAGATAACTCTGAAGAGATGTTTTACTGGTGTCAGTGCCGGGGCCACCCACCCGCTACTCCTCCACTCTTAGCCATGCTTTTTAATCTTCACGACTGTTGGAGCCTGGGTGAAATCAGTCCCCTCCCTCCTTGCTGAGGGCCTAAAATTTTTTTCACAAGAGCTGAAACTCGCCCTAAGCAGCCCTCTCAGTCACCAGTGGAGGAGGTCAGAAAGAGCTTCAGGCTGGAAGTGGATATTCAGATCCTTTCTACCATTCGAAGGTCTTGTCTAAGTCTCTGCAGTCCTTCAGGGAGGGCGTCTCGGTCAACCCCACTCCCTTCAAATCTTACTGTACAATGCTCAGTCTGCTCATACTGAGCGTTACCGCCATCTCCTGTCCTCCCACTTCCTATGCAGTAGGTCCCCAATATTCACTCCTTGTCCTCCAGCCTGCAATCCAGGGGCCAGAGGCAGTGCATGACAAGTGAGCCAGCCCCAGCAGGGACACTGATGCGACACTGCTGTGTCCTCTTCCACTCACACCATGCTGTGGTCCAGCTCAACTTGACATCCAGCTCCTCTAGAACCTGTGGCCTCCACACATGAATGGGCGATTCTCCACACCCAAAGCCCCAGGAGACCGATGATTGATAGGCCCAGGCTTCGGCCAGAAAGCGGAGGGAGGTCGTGTCTACCCGTGGGCTTGGAACGACTGCCTGGTGTCCGCTTTTCCCTAGAACTGAATCTGGCCAGTGGGCTCGCGCTCACTCCCCAGTAGGCTGCCGCCCACCTCACTGTACATCCCCACCTGGCCCTGTCACTGCACCCCATCCTCCCGCAATGCCCCCTTGTGCATGTCAACACCACCACACACGTGGAACAGGTGGCATCCCTCAGAAGCAAGCAGCAAAGCTAGCACGCAGGAGTCACCTCTCTGAGGCGCTGAGCAGAGGCAGTTGACCTGTTCGCCCAGATGACTCCAAGGCCCACTGCTTCCATGAGCTGTTCCTTGAAAAACCAGATGACAGTGGCAACAGCTTCATAGAACACAGCGTTCCAGACACACAGCTTCCCTGTGTTTGTGAGCACATTAAAGGTTCTGAGACTTTCCTCCTTTAGAGAGACCTGGTTATGTTCGACACATTTCCCTACCATGCAGCTATGGACGCCTATTTTAGCGTAACTGTCACCACCAGCGTTCCAAGTACACTTCTTGTAGGCCGGGACTAGACAGCTACAAGGGCAGGTGGTTCTACTTGCCCCACCCCATTCCCAAGTCCTCCCTGCCTTTCCCGATATCCTTCAGCCCGATGCTACTCTATAAGGCGACTGGAGAATGCCAGGTGAGGACAGGTATGATCCTGTCAGGGGTGAGGCTGAGACGGGGGCAGTGAGGGGGGAGAGATGGGGAGCACTTTGGGATCTGAACTTCTGCCTGCTCAGGGTGACTAGGGTGTTATTTTTCCCACAGGTGAAAGCTGGCTTGGGGGTCAATGTCATTGGCCTGGTAATCGTGATGGTGGCCATCAACACCTGGGGAGTGAGTCTCTTCCACCTGGACACTTTTCCGGCCTGGGCCAAGGTCAGCAACATCACTGATCAAGCTTAACGCTAACAGGCAAATGGCCAAAGAACTGCCAGTGCCCAGCAGAACTGGACTCACCAAAACACACAACCCCACCAGAACATTCTGCCATCTACCACTTCCAAGTGCAGTACACGAAGCCTCCAGCGACCAAAATCACCTGCAGATGTGTCTTCGCTGCCCTCTTTCCTTATCACCATAGCTCAAGAAAACCTAACATTCTCCTCACCTCCTTTAACCTAGTCTCTCCAGTCTGTTCTTTCCAAAGGCAGAAAGAGAAGCCTCAGCTGCCCCTCAGAAGTGACGAGCCTTACAACCTGACTGGCCTCGATGTTATTCTGAGTATCACAGTCCTTCCTTAGGAGGAGAAATTCAAGTCATCCCACCTCTGCACCGATAGTGAAACCAGTGACATCTCCCCTTTAGGGAAAAAACCTCACCCAGAACTTGAGACCTAACATTAGCTCGTTTCTCTTAAGTCTTCTAAAGTTCGCTCCACAAAAGGCGATTCTGTGTGTCTTTTGTGGCAATCAGTCCATTATTATCCCTGCTCTGATTCCCTTCCGGGCATTTCCCTTCAGTGGCTTCTCTTTACCTTGACACCAAGTTCCTGTAAAGCAATAGTGCTCCCCTTTGGAAAGAGGCTGGTGCTGTTTGTTCTCTTTGTCAAAGGAAAAGGAAGTAAAAAAGAAGGTGCACACTGAGATTCTCTCCATTCATTGCTATCAAGACCACTGTGTTGGTTAAGTGTTGGAAAGGAGAAAAAACTTTCATCCTGCCTTATAAAGGACACCAGCACTGTCACTAAGACTCCAGTCGCTGGTAATGATACTCGACTGGCTTCCTTCTAGATGTATTGGGTAGTTCGCTTCTGAGAAGACAAAGCACAGATGGTCCAAAGGCATCAGTCACTTTCTGCAAGTCAGTGCGTCGCTGTGGGAAGGGACATGTCTTCTGTGCCTTGAAGACTCCAGCAACATACACAATAAACTCTAACCGCCCAATAAATGTTTTAAGAAAACCATTTTGGAAACCACTTTGATGGCCTCCTTCCTCCTGAGGCCCGGCCACCTTCGCGTAATGCCGGCTGTGTCTGGACAGAGCTCCCCACGCAGCCGTGTGCCAGTATCCCCATTTCTGGCTGGCACTGTCAGTTACTTGCTAAGCACATCTTACAGGAGAAGGTATGCCCCAGGGTTATTACACTGTTTTAACTGATTCTAGTTACTACTGCTAGCAGGTACAGTTGTCCCACAATAATTTATCAATAAAATCACTGTTTTCTCAGTACCTGAGTGTTGTGAAGTCTTCCGTGACAGTCAGTGCTCGCATGCTCCCACTGCAGCACATGCCTGACCAGGTTAACCAGGAATATTATACATTGTCTCGACCACATTATCTACTGCACTTCCACTACAGAGGAAACCACCTAAGCAGCCGCAGTCAAACACCAGGATTAGACACACCCCACCTGGTTTGCTCACGCAGCTGTAGTTACTCTGCTTCAAAAGGTTTAGAGGCCACGTAACTCCTAGAGTCAGGACAGCCAAGTTGTCGGAGGCCTGCCACGACAGAACATAAGCACAGAGCCTCTAAGCGGACACCAAGACAAAGCCACAATAGGGCAATTCTGGGAGTAGAAATAGAAAGAAAAGTGACTCTGAATTAAGTAGACTTAGTGTTAGTGACTATTCTTCAGCTATTCAGACCTGCCTCACTGCGAATGGGAACGCAATCAAGTGCCCGCTGCAATCGCAGCCAGGTGCTCAGGAGCCCACCCCCAGCGAGCCAAGGAAGAAGGGAGTTTGTATCTGGTCTGCGGACTATTCTAAAGGACCACGCTCTTCTTCCCCAGAACCAGAGATTCAGGCCAAACAAGTAGCTTAAGGCAAGGACAGGTAGTGTCAGCTATGACTAACGAC